TGTCCTGGAAACCTGTGGAAAACACTCTGCACACTCAGGCTCTGTTGGCAACCTGACAGCTTTGGTGTCCACAGCACCCAGGCTGACAGCTGCCCTCCACTGCCTCTCTTTCTCACAGCATGTCTTGAGGAGGGGAGCCTTGCATGGCACCCGTGCCCAGAGCTGATGCACCATTTGGGACCAGAAAAGGCAAGGAAGGTCATGTCCAGATCCCATCTTTCCGCTCCTCTCCCATCCTTTGCTAAGCCCAGCATGCTCCTGACCTCACTGCTAGCTCTCACCTCCCCAGTGCCTACCCAAGCAGTAGGGAGAGGCAGCCTTGCCAGCCGCTGTCCCCATTGCTGCCACAGGCAGCCCCGAAACTCCTTTCTTAGACATTTCCACATAGCCCTTGTAAATATGGCTGGGGAGGAGCAAGCATCCTCATTCCTCCTTGTGGGGAACCCAAGGGGCACCTATTAAAAGAAAGGAGGGCAGCGAAGTGGCAGGGAGGGAAATTTAGGGGCAGAGGCTGCATTTCTGTGGATTTATGTGGCACAACAAGGGAACGCTGGCCACCAGTCAAAATCCAGAAGTCGAACCACAGAGCAATTACTTAAAGCTTTGTTTTCTTGTGACCAAAGGAAAAAAAAGGAGTGTAAAACCCAGGAAAGTCATAGCTGTTTAATGGCAAACCATGTAAAAAGATAACACTCAATTGCTATTCTGTTAAAAAAAAATCTGCCCTTGTAATAGTGCAAGTGAACTGCAAATACTCTGGTGTTCTTACCTTGTTTTCCAGGCCACAAAAATCTATTTAATTTGCTAAAGTGGAACGAATTATAAAATTGGTATCAAAGTATGTATTGTGTTCTTAAACTGTATCATTTTGTAGAGCCCTGTCACTATGTGCATTACATCGAAGGAGCAGGAAGGCTCTGGTGGTATCGCTGGAAGTTCAGGCCTAACAAGAAGCATTGTCTTGGAGCTGGGTCATACTTAGCAGATTATTGCCGTACCAGGAGGGCTAAAATTTTCATCAAAGTAATAGTGGAATTTGTGACGACCAGCCAGCTTATAGCGCTGTGCTCCAGGGTTTGCTCACAGCAGATGCTCAGCTCGATCCCTGGCGCAGCGCCGAACAGTCGCCTTATGGGCTGCACACACCTGCTAGCACACGGCACGCAGGTGCCACTGCTCTCAGCGCCAGTGAAACAACGCGACCCGGCAGACCCCTTTGGGCCATCAGGCAATTCAGTTATTCCACTCGCTGGCTCTGTGATTGAAGGGAGCACAGTGAAACCCGTGGAGAGGATGGAAGCCCAGCACAAACACTGTCAGCAAATACTAATGAAATGCAGCACACACAGAGCAGGAGGGCAGGCAGGGCGAGTCGGCAGGTCGCTGAAGCAAGGCTTGCTTTCTATTGTGCTGTGAAACGAGTGTCACTACATTCATGACGCTACCTTCTTTGGGGACCCTTTCTACAAAGAGCCTGATGGACTTTCAGGAACTGGGCATGTTTGTGGCTGTTGTCAGGCAGTCCCCGCCTGGGTGCAGAGGGCTGGATGCAGGGGTCCTGCAGGGTCCCACTGCCGTGTGCTTTGTGAGGATGTCACTCACTCGAACTGGCAGGGAAAAGCTGCTTCCTGCTTGAGCACTTGTGTTCAGCAAAACCACGAGATGGCACTAGCAACTTTTGCAGGCTTGCGGCTTCCTAGGATGCTAAAAGAGGCAGGGATAAGTAGCTTGCTACATTGCTGTGATCCCAAACTAAATACGCAGATATTCTGCAGTCACTGAGACACATGAACTCCCAGAGCTACCTTCAGTCCTACTTTTGGTTGGGGTGTTTCCTCTTACTGTTACCAGGACTACACTGCCTGGTTAGCTTTGGCTAAATCCATTTCATTTGCCATTTCATTATACGTTAATGGTCAGCAGGTTTTATTTATGATGGACAGATTAGAGTAATGGCCTCCATGTACGAAGCAAATTTTGTATTTTACACCTCATACATTCAGGAGAAAAGTAATTAAAAAGACAACTGATTCTAAAGTGAACTACATTTAATTCAAAAGGCTGACCCAAAATACAGAGATAGAGTGAGCCTGCTCAGTTGCGAAGCTAAGAGACCAGCTGCCCTTTCTGTGGCCAAACTTGAAACAACACAGTCTATGTATAACTTGCTAAACAAAAGAGGGCCAAAGGCTGATCTCTGGCTCCAAAGCCAGAACAGCACTATTTCACTCACGTCCACATCCTCCAGAGCTATCCCATCGGCCACGAATACACCGTATAGCTCTTGGCTCGAGTTTCCTCTTGGCCTGCTTCAGGATCCTTATGGCTCTAGGACACAATTATCACATTTTGGGGTGGTGGTTGTTATCTGAAATAATGTCAGTGCTGTCCTGCAGCCTGTGGTGGTGCATCCCCCCACTACAGGCAATAATGGATAGATCAGATGATAGCCTTTCGGTTAACCTCCAGTTGACCTTCTGAGAGTAGACCTGGTGGCTTTAGGTGTTCGGCCTACAACCAGGAGATGACTGGAGGACGCAACTAACTTCCACCCACCATGCAGGCAATGTCAATCATGCTTGTCAATTATGGAACCTTCGGGAACCTGCCAGAACCACCTCGGTTATGCTCAAACAGACACGGGGTGAGGTATGACCCCACTCACAATTTGATCATAGGCATATACACAGAGCTGAAAGTGTTCACTTCTTGTGGAGACCATCCATTCTGAAACAGCTGGTTCTGTGGAGGAGAGGAACTCCCTTCGGACTGGGACGCCACTCGAAGATCGATAGGCCTGAAGGAATACTGAGATGGCTCACTGGGACTGGGCGAGTGAGTGGTACCACACAGGAGAGAGAGGCTTGTTGTAGGATACATACATATTCCTTTTCCCTCCAACAGGGGATTCAATACAGGATAGCTGCATATTCCTTTTCCCTCCCTTCCCTGTTCCCGTTCCCTGTTCCCGGTAATAGCCACAACAGGTGATAATAACTTAAGTTCATAGGAATGTGAATGAACACCAATCTCTGTGTAAATAGGTTGAATTGTGCACTTACCTGTAAATAAGTTGTATTGTTGGCTAATTGTTTCTTATATCACCTACTGTTTTCCTATATTGCCTTGTTTTGTCTGTTAATTCCCCTTTGTGAATGGGAAGGACATGAGGGTGCGCAGTTTGATGGGACAGTGTTGGAGGCAAAAGGAATGCAGACTAGATGTAGCCCCTTCCACAGTGGGAACAGTCCTTAGGATGAATCGCACTCCAGGTACCGTCTTGCAGAAAGCTGCTGGAGGAGGTGCAAAGCCAACACATGAGCTTCAAAGAAACAGGAGTTCAGCATCTTTTTAAGTAGTGCATGAATCCAGTGCAGTTCATTGCCACAAACTGTTGGGGTGAATAACAAGGGCCACAAACAAAGTGGGTGAATAACTGGCTGGATTGTTAGACTCAAAACTGGCCAACAGTTCAAAGTCTACCTAGCAGCCAGTTACAAGCGGCATTCTTCAAGGGTCAATGCTGGGGCCAATGCTATTTAACATCTTCATCTGAGACTCATATAAGTGGGTGTAACGCACCTTCAGCAGGTTTGCAGATGACATCCAATTGGGATACACTTAAGGGCAGGGCTGCATTCATAGAGACTTTGACAAGCGGGAGGAAGGGGCCAACAAGAACCTCATGAAGCTCAATAAAGACAAATGTAGGTCCTGCACCTGGCATGGACTAACCCCCTACAACAGCACAGGCTGGGTACCTACTGGCTTGGGAGCAACTCTTCAGAAAAAGATCTTCAGAAAAAGAGTCCCAGCAAATAACTAGTTGAACAGGAGCGAGCAGTGCACCTTTGCACTGATAAGGCCAATAGCATATTGGGCAGCATAAGCAAGAAAGCTGCCAGTGGGTTGATAGAAATGATTTTCCCCCTCTACTCAGCACTCCTGAAATCACATCTGGAGTACTGTGTACAGTTTTTGGCCTCCCCAGTAGAAGGAAGATACTGACAAACTGGAGAGAGCTCAGAGGAGCTGGAGCCATTAAGATAGTTAGGGAGCTGGAGCATATGATGTACAAGGGAAGGCTGTGGGAGCAATTGCAATCTTCCATTACCTACAGAGGATTACAAAGAAGACAGAGCTACACTCTTCTCAGAGGTACACAATAAAACAAGAGGTAAAAGTCACAAGTCTGAACTTGGGAAATTCTGACTGGACATTAGGAAATAATTCTTCACCATGACAGTGGTTAAGCACTAGAACAGGTTGCTTGGAGAGGCTGTGGAATTGCCACCTTTGGAGATTTTTTAAACTTGGCTGGACAAGGCCCTTAACAACCTGAACTAACTTTGAAGCTTTGAGCAGCTTTGAGTCTGCTTTGAGCAGATAATTTGGACTAGATTGTCTCCAGAGGGCTCTTTGAACTCTTGATGTTTCTATGATTCTGTAACTACCACATAAACATATAAAACAGCACTGTTAAACCATAAAACTGTAAAAACTAAACAAAACCAAACTTACATACCTTTGCATGTACAATGTAACGATGACATACAGACAAATCCCACAGGGCAGGGGAAAAGGGTAAAAAAATATAATAGATAACACCATGCTGATGGAAATGTGAGGCAAGCACTACCATGAAGGCCAACGTACATGAAATGAACTAGGATGGGATTTAAGTGTGCAGGATTACCAGTATCTGTCACAGCTCTTATTTAATCATTCAGTTTTACTGGAGCAAATGATTTACCATAATACAGTGAGGAAAAAAAAGATCCGGTTTGCAGAGGCAAAGCTGAGCCTAACATAAAAATACTTCTGCTGTGTTTATTTTGTAATTATCCCACTGACACGCACTGCCAAGAACTGGAGAGCTTGTGTCACTGCACTCATTTTGAAGTCAGGCAAAGCCTACTTAAAATAGTCAGCGAGTCTGTAATACCTCATAAATGAACACACAGAGGGTTAAGCACAAATGATCTTTTGTCTCTATTTTATTTAATAAAAGCAACACATTCTGGATGAGAAGGAGAGGAGTTTAAAGAAAACCTGCAGTTTTCTAATGACACTGTTCATAATTTAACCACAACAATATGATACATAAGTAAGTGCCTTGAAACTTGTGCATACTCAACTCTGAATAGATCAGCCGCTGCTTAAATAATGGAAAGAGTATTAATGAATACTACCTTCAACAGAACACTCTTCAAGATCTGACTTTCATTGTTACAGACAAAAAGTTTTCAGTACACTATCATCACTGCTTTTCCTGACAGTCGAACGCTCAAGTTATTCCAAAATTTCATTACAAGCACAATGAATACAAACAATTAAAACTTTCATTTCTAGGCAAGTATCAGTAAACAGAACAGAAACACTGAGGAGACAGAATCAACGGAGACAATACAAATTCAGAGTCTGTGGAACTTAATTTGGCTTTCTTCCTGTTAGCATTAATGTGGTAAAATTGTGAGTTTAGATGTTTGTACAGTTGCAGGTTAATAGCACACATGAGCCTCACAACTGATACTTGAGCTATCTTGTGCTTGCTTGTAGACTTCCAATATCAGCGCTTCCTGCCATGTCGCGAGATGGCCCCCAGATGGGCTGAACTACTTATCGCAGAGGCACACTCTAGGCTGAAACATATTTCCAAACCTCCTCTCCATTAATAGCCCCAATTAGCTTTTGTCAAGAGTTTAAATGTTGGCATGATTCCAGGATCTAACAGACATATCAGCTGAAATCAGATCTCTGAAGACTTTTTGATTTACTGTTCAGACCAAATGCTATCTGTATTATTAAAAATATTTTGAAAATACTTTTTTTTTCTCTTCTAAATAATAAATATTAAAACTTTGTGACAGGTTTGAACCAGCTTTACCCTGTTGATGGGCACATCTGGAAGCAGCTTGTGTTAATAAAATGGCTGCCCAATGGATACACAATGCTATTTCATCTTTTTTTTTTTTGTTCCACCACAAATATGAAAGAAAAATCCTGAATCATAAGTTTAAACTTGTGGAGCCTGATTGTCCCAGGCATTGCTGCTTGCCCAGTCATTTACAGGTAGATGGAAAATACTGCTGGTCTGACCTGACATGGAGCACAACCTTAAATAAATCAGTTCCACTGTGTTCTAAGAGGATTTGATCTAAAGGCCACTAAAGTCAGAGGAAAGTCTCTATGGACTTAGAAGGACTACGGAGCAGAGAAACACATGCATAGCATGACAAATCCTTCACTGGTGATACTTCTGCTTCCAGTCCTCTCTTAACAGCACAGTTTACCAACAACTGCAGTAAAACTAAGCAGTTCTGAGGGCAGGAGAAGGCTGACAATATCCTATGTTCTTAGAGCATAAAATTTCCTACTCTTATTTTGTATTTATTACAAAAAACAAGGCTTACCTCACGATGCTTCATTCTCTATGTGGAGAAAATGAAAGCAAAAAGCCTGAAAAGAGTATTATCCTGACCCTGACACTCCCTCTGGCCTCTTCTGGATCTGGGATACAACTTTAATGGCATTTCTCCCTCCTCCTCAATAAATCCGTATGCAATTTCCCTCAGACATTTTGCAGAATTGCTTGTAAAAAGTGTGCATTCACAATGGGCCTGCAGAGCTGTTCCATTTTCTGTAACTATTATTTAGAGTACTTGTGTGCTTTTTCTAAAGTAGCAATTCTTCTGAGTAAAACTCCCTGGTAATACAACAAACATCATATCTTCACTATCTGCATCTGTATATAGATTACATACAGATTTATACATATATTTTTTAATATCATCATTTTCTTACTGGCTATTCCACAGCTGCAATCAGTGTCATTTCTCTCTGGCACAAAATTAAGTTTTTAGTACATGCATGATGCAATCCGTTTACATGACCTAAATCCTGGTGAAGGTACTTAGCTATTTGTCATACTAACAGCCATTTACCTGCTTTTTTTTTTTTAATATAAAATTAACTGAAGCAAAACAGGTAACCAAGAATGCAAATTTTAAAAATGTGACTTGAAAAAACAAAGCCCATAAAATTTGACCTATTTTCCCTTTGGATTGATATATTTGAGTAGAAATCTGTTTTGCCCAGAAACAAGTGTTCTTGGGCTGGAAATAGGAAGTACAAGTTTCTGCATGAAATATTTTCGACAGTAAAATAACCCCTTAAAAATAAGGAGTTGATATATATAGAAATTGGTGCTGTAGGGATATAAAAAAAACAGTGAATTATCTTACTTTTTTTGTATTCTAAATAGATAAACTCTGTGTTGCCTGAGCTAAAAAGAGTAAACATTGTTTACTTGTTGACTGCACAGAGTGTTTCAAACAAGCAGATTGCTCCCTCCCCATTGGAAAGGTGGGGCTTTTTGAGGGGATGGTAGAAAATGTTCCACAAGGTTTCTCTCTTGGCACTTTCCAAAACCTGGACTGTCAAAGTAAGAGATATAGTAGAGTATCCTCTTCCCTGTGGAAAGAATGAAAGTTTTTTCCTCCTCAGCACTGTAAACTCTGAGGTTAGCTGCAAGCATGTGTGTCTTCACATGGAGGTTTTCAAGAAGAAACCTTTCAAGAAGGTGTCTTCTTGTCTGACTCTACTGGAGTCACGCTACTGGGACCTGCTCTGCTTAGAGCTGCCTTTGGAACTTGTACAGAGGAAAGAAGACCCCTTTAACCTCCCATCTTTTCTGAGCTGAGAGAACTTCATCGAAAAGTTAAAGCAGTTTAGTGTCACAAATCACTCTTCCGTTTCTGTGATGGAGAACTGGATTATTATGTGCCTTTCCTTGCATGTCCTTCAACACCAGTCCAAGGGTTGGTCAGTTATAGAAATCATCTATCTTGCACTGCTATGGACAAGCCTCTGTGCAGATCTTCCTCTCTGATACAAAGGTACTGGCCCCACCTCACACTGCCTTACTGTACACATTTCAGCACTTATCTCTTAGGGATCTGAGTGCTTTCTTCAAATATTTAGCATGCTCTACTGCATCACCTTCTCCTCAGTGAAGAACCTTCTGCAAGCTCAAGGTGGGTCCACTGCTGTCATTCACAAACAGAACACATTTTACCTGGAAGTCGCAAGGTAGAGAAACTTCAGATGTAAAATTCTTCTTCATTAGTTGGTGAAGCTGGGCAAACACTAACACGATCATCTAGAGAACAAGGGGTAGGTCCCAAGGACTGTTTGGGCTCCTTGGAGAGGGATCCTGAAGGAGAAACTGAAGAGGACAAGAATGAGCTGGAAGACCGTTCAGAGAGCAAAGGCAATGAACCACCCACTGGCTCAAAGGTATTGCACATGACTGATACAGGTCTTCCACTAGTTGCAGCCTGTTTAGTCTTACTGACACTTTGCCTCTGTGGGGGAAGAGAGGCTTCCAAGTCACTGCCAAATCCATTAAGGGCAGAGTATGCAGAGACCACAGACAGGTCTGAGAAGGATAGCTTCCTCCCTGTGTCCACATCAGTTTCCTGTGCACCCTCCAAGTCATCAATGTTAAGCCTGGGGCTGCATCTCCACGTTTTTAACCTGGTTGCAGGTGACCCAGGATTTAAAAACTGAAATGGTTCACTGAAATGAAAAGTCTCTGAGGCTGAAGAGGAGCTCGTTGTGGGCAAGCAGAACAGAGACTTGCTTCGTTGAAATGACCAGGAAATGCTGGAGGCACTGCTGGATCTGCGTGTGAAGTCTCCTTGATCACTGTGTCTCAAGTCCTGCTGGGAGAAACCAAGGTAATGACCAAGGCCATTTGTGTGATGCACCTTGTTTTGACCCATTTCTTTTGGTTGCTCAGGGACAGATTGGTGGCTCTGAGGAAGACAGGCTGGCAAAGGGGTGAGGCGGGAATCTGTTGACACAGATGGATACAGTAGCTTGTTCTGCTTTGCAGATTTCCTGTACCAACTAGATGCTTGCTGCAACAGGGAGAGGGAGAAAAGAAGAAAGATCATACCAATGCAGAATTGGCAGTCTTACAATCCTAAGTCTCCACTGCTGAGCTGTTACTGCAAATAACTATGAAGCAGACTTCATTCAGTATGCTCACAGCAAATGTTTCATTTCTATAACAAAGAGAAAACACCCTGTCAAAATCCCAAATATTTACATAAGGAGCCTTGAAGGCAACAAGAATAAATGGGAGAGAAGCCCTGCCTTGTGGGCTGAATTATACTAGCTGGGAATTCTCACTTACTATTGACTGATTCCAATTCATTCATGTTCTGTCTTCCATCATTACCGTCTTAGTGGAAGCTAAAGAACAAAAATGAAGAGACTAGAAATATATGTTCTTTGTTACTGTGGTGCAAATAATTTTATTTTTTCTTCTGAAAGATCAAAAAGCCTTTAGCAAAGCAACCTCATTCTCCCTCACTTCAACAGGAACTCACCACTCCCTTCAACTCTCTCTTTCACATATTCTCTTTCATGCCTGGTAGCTGAATGGTACTCTAGAATCCACATGCTGTGTTAACCAATGACTAAAAGCAGAGCTTTAGACACCTTATTTGCATGTAGATACCTGGACTAAAGACACCTGACAGTTACAACTTGAATCCCGAATCTCACTCCCAGGGCAGGATTCAGCTTTCTACATGCCAGACGTTTAAGAATCTGCAAAAAGCTAGCAGCTGTGACAACTGGGGAGCCAATGCCCTCAGCAGCAGGAGGCCAGATGGCCTTGAGTATTTCATGTGGCATTAGATATGGATGTTCAAGCAAGCATGACCTTTTTCTCCATCCCAATTATCTCTGCAAAGCTTTCTGAATTTTGCATTTAAAAAAATTTATTTAAAATTCCTCTTACTGGAATTTCTCACGATACAAAACTCTAGATTTTTGTTCCAAACAGGAAGGGAAGTAATGGGACAAAGTGCAAGATCATACCCTTGAGGATGAACAATAATCTCAGCTATGGGACTTGTCAGTCAGAAACAGCAGACGAGAAAGAATAAGGTATCTTAGTCACTATGTGCTATCAAAGTGACAAGGCTGTGAGAAACATGATTCCAGGCAGTCTCAGGTGATTTAAGTAAGTATTAATGCACTGCACAGGACACCAGGAAGGTCGCATCTGGAATGCTGCACATGACTCAAGCCACCCAAATAGGAAAAAGAATTAAAAAAAGTTGTAGGCACAGGGAAAAATAAAGAATGAATGAACTATCCATTAAAAAACTTAAAACTGCAAATGAAAAATAGATTTCTAGTCACAACAGAAGCGCAAGAGCCTCCTGCTAGGACTAGATAAAGATGGAGCTTGATCAGTTCACACAAGAGATTATATGATGTGACAGAAAGAGATGAAACCTGGCAACCCAGGAGGTCCTTTTTAATCCCTCATCTCTAAAAGAGCTTTCTAGATTGCTGCTGATGACATCTTGCTAGTGCATGTTGTATTGTTTTAGTGACCCAGATCTGTCATATTTATCTTTTTTTTCTTTTTGCACTGATTTTATAGGCAAAAAAGAATTTTCACATTTGCAAAAAATATTTGCTTATTTGTGATTGCCTGGCTAGAGGTGATTTATAGGACGGCCAAAACTTAGGAGTTCACTTAGGCACTGCAGATAAATATATTCCAATGTGTCCTTAATGAGGTATGTTAATTCATAATCTATTTTTGCATAATATAATAAGCTGTTTTCCTTAATGCCGTAAAGAATTAAATGAATTCATGAGTAAAATTAACAGTACTGTAGCACTTTCATTAATTGATAAAGCATCAAGAGTGCAAGAGTCAAATAAAATGAATTAAACTATCAGTGAAACATTACCAGAAATGAAGTTACATCTGTATGTGCAACATTATTTCACTCACGTAATAGGTAAGTTAATTTGTTTTAGAAATTACTCAGCAAGAGAAAATACTAGCTGTTTTTTAACCAAAGGCATTTATAGATAACTCAAAAAGAGTATTATATCCTGAAGGTAGACAAACAAATTCTTTCAGTGGGTTTGTACAAGCAATCATTCATTATATTGCTGTTTGCACTAACCAAGAGTTTTTATCTGTTCTGTGCAGTAGCTCTGATATCAGATAAACTACATGGAATCAATCACTACACTCGATCAGTTGATAAAAGTACTACAGATTTCTTCTACCTATTAGAGAGAGGATTGTGGATTGCCTGGCAGCCATTGCTTGTTTTTATGTCATAACCTTGTGTTTAAGCACATGTAGTTGATAATTCGGCCCATCAAGCACCTAAAGAACCCAATACTCCAAGCAAGTGCTTGTTTCTGAACTCCCTCGCAAAGGTAAGGCCTTTGGGGCCACAAGCACTGATAGCAACTCAGATGAAGCTGTACCAGAAAACACAGAACTTTTTGGGACAGATCAGACACTTACAGGAGGAACAGTTCTTTGGGCAGTGTGAAAGCCTCTCCTTTATCTTGAGTGGACCACACCATAGGTAAAACAGAGCCCACAGACATCACAGATAGAATTTAACTGTCTAGCTAACACAGCTAATGGAGTCTGGAGAGCAATTCAGCTCTCCCTAAAGGAGATTCCTGTATCTCGTTAGCTGAACTGCTCTCTAGATCCTTGGACTGTACTGACTAGATATCCATTGACTACAACATGAGTCAGAGTGTAGGTCACATAAAAATATCCGCAGTTAGACATCACTTTAGGTGACTACAATCTGGAGCTGAACCCAAGTCCTACAGAAACAACTCCAACACGCTTATTTTGATCTGATTTATGCAAAGGTATTTTGGACGCTGCTATAAGTCTCATGCATTTAAGTGATGGTATTAGTTTATTATTCTTATTTATTGACATAACTTTTTACTGACGTGTTCCAAAGAACAAGTAATTAATTTGGTAACTTGGTCCCTCAATGGACACTGAGGAATACTGGGTCTGATAGTTGCCTAATCATAGGTGTCTGAAATATCCTCTCTGGCCTGCAAGCACATCCAAGTGCCATTCCATGTCAGGGATTTCAGTGATGTTTAATTTATTAACAGAGATAAACTCTTAACCCATGTGGGAATAAAGCACAGACACGAGAATACATGTTTTAAGCTCTTTCTAATACTGACATATCCCTCAAGTTATATAAGCTTGTGTTAGTTTTGGATTGCAGATATGCAACACAAAGACTACAGGCACAACCAAATTCCCAGGACTCAGGAGGATGCTTACCTGATGCACTGCCTGCAGGGGAGTGCAGCAGAGGGCAGGTCAGGGCCAGGATAGATGGATAAGGTGAGACAGATCACCCTTGCTAGAAACCCTGAGGGCTCTTAAATAGCAACTTTCTAACCAAGATGCAGGTAAAAAGTAGAGACTCAAAGGAAAGGGGAAATGCAGTTCTAAGAGGCAGCTGAAGAGCTTTAAGTATGTTGCCTAATTGGAACCTACTTAAACGGAGAGGAAATTTTACTTTAGATAAGGTATATGTTTTAAGTTTTGGTTATTTTAATCACTTTTTTCTTAGCTATTTTCACATATCTGTGGACAGATAAGAACATTTGATTTTGTACAAGCTATTTGCTGTTATTGTCACAGCTGGGTCACAGCTCCTGGTCAAGCCCGGTTGGCCTGGCAGGAGAGGCTGAGCGATGTCACTAATGCAGCTTATTTTTGAACAGCTCTGTTTATGGGAGGAATTGCTTACCTTGCTCATTTTTCGTTTAGAAATGTTATGATTTAGAAGACCTATTTTCCAATGCTGCTCTTCATGACATGGGTGGAAAGGGTGAATGCACGCTTGAAATAATAGGGGGAGATTTTTTAATACCTTGGCCTTAAAGCAACATAACTGAAAGTTTTCCTGACCGTGAGGACACTAGACTGCACAACTGTGCTACAGGTAGAGTGTCAGAAGATCCATCTCACGAGGGAGACTGGAGGAAAGACTGATGAATGGAGATTACAGGCTAATCCTATAATCTGCAGAACTGGATTATGTGGACTAATAAGACTTCTCTGTATCTACATTCTGTTGCTTGTCAGAGATCACAGAGAGGATTCTGTGTTTTAGTCAGGATTAAAACTCAGGCAAAACGAGCTCCTACTCCTGTGCCAAGGCCATAGGTTGTGCTCCTTCATATTACTCTCAAACTGTACATGCAAGAGCAGCACACAGTGTGCATGTTCATGTTACTGCTCCTTTTTATTTTGATCATACTGTGCATTATAATTCTATGACGTTTAAGAACCAAACAGCATTTTCCCTGTGTGACTGTTCACAAGGAGACACAATGATAAACAAATGGGAGATGCTGATCTTCCACTGCTGCTTGGGTCTTGGGGTGCTGAAAACAGCAAAATATGGTTCTGTGCGTTAAAGGCGGTGTCATGCACACTCAGTTACTCTTTTTAGCAGAATGGCTTTTTTCCCCTCTAAGAGTCTTCCTTTGACTTTGGAAGCAGCTCTGCCAGCTTTAATTTTTCTTAATTCTTCTTCTTTTCTTTTCTAAGTCTTTACCCTCAGCCTCCTCACAGTCTGCTTTCTCCACTGGCTATTACCTCAGTGCAGCCTGAGAAGGCACCGCCTGGTATAGCTGTGCTGCCTGTCAGGAACAAGATGCTGGAGAAGAGATCAGCCATCTGACAGAACAAAGCCTTGATACGAACGCATGTGCCACTAACACAAGCTTCTACCACATCTGAAAAACTGACTTGGATTGAAATTCAAAATACAAGGAGAGATATGTCAGACCTTTGCATAAATATGCATGACAAAAATGGCTATTGATTGAACAGATTAGCTCTCTATTAGAACACATTTTTTCATCTAGGGCTAATCTGATATTCATTTACAATCTCTGCACAAACCTTTGTGAAGCCTGGAGGGATTTAGCGGGATTTAGTACATTACAATAGACTGCAGAAGAATTTCATGATAAATATGCAGAAATTCAATAAACAACTTGGGGAGAACTTCACAGAAATGTACTT